GGGGGGCGTGATTTCTCACTTTCTGTCTCTCTGTCTTTCTCTGTCTGTCTGGCGAGCACACACGCCCTATAGCAAAAACCTCTTAAAAAAAAAAATATATATATATACACACACACACAGGAAACAAGAAATGGAAAATTATTTGTTGACAATAACACGTATGTTGATATGCTTGACTGAGCCAATATACAGTATATTCTGAATGGGAAATCTCATTTTGTATGCTGTAATGATGAATAAAGAATGTATGTAAATAAATAAATTTAAATAAATAAAAAAGAACATATTTTATAACAATCATTCATTTCATAGGCTAAATGTTTCCTCCATACTTTCTATTTTGCAAAGATTTCTGAAAGCCAAACTTTGGTCAAATTCCTGATCCCTAAAAACCGAATGAGGGACCAGCAGATGGTGTAATGGTTACGTTGCACAGTCAACTATGGTTCAAGTTCTGGACCCTGAGGCTTAAAACTGACGTCAGGTGCATGTGCGTGTGCGCCCAAAAGCTTGAGAGGAGAATGGAGGAGAAGAGATTGCAGTGCAGCCATCCCCCCTGGGGAGGTGACTTTTCACTTTCTCTCTGGTGAGCACACACGCCCTATAGCAAAAATCTCTAAAAAAGAAGAAAAGCAAAGAAAACATTAGACACTAATACTCAAGAGCTGATGGAAGAAGAGAAATCATTTTGATCAGGGGTATGAACAGTGGTTTGGGCTATGGAAGGAGTATGAAGAATTCCCACCTCATTAAAAGAAACCAGAACAATGGTTTTCAACCTTTGTATCAAGCTAAATATCCTACAGCTACTATTTTGACACCTAAACTAAACAAACCTTAGAAAGGCTATTTTTTACTCAATTATCACCTCTGCTTTATACAAGGATAGACTCAGAAACAGAATTATGGAAAATGAATCTGCATGCTTTGTAAAACTGGTCTTAAAACCACTGTCAACCACATGGTCCTCCTCCTTATATAACCCACACAGTACATCTTTACCTTGTAAGGACTGTGAGAGGGAAAACAAATCTCTCTTGCTTACTGCTGAGCTTTCCCACAATGAATACCGAGAGCCTGTAAGTCACTGTGTTTCCCT